GCCTTGAACATGCTAGACAACTGTTCTACCACTGAGTATGCCTCGAGCCCTCCAAGAGCCTCATCTTCATTTAACTACCAAAAAGCCAGAAGTGGCTCAAGTGGTAGAGACCTGGCCATTAGCAATGAAGCCAAGAAAGATCACAAGGCTCTCAGTTCAAGTCCCAGCACTGGTACGCATGTGTGCATATGTGTGCATGTGCGCGCGCGCGCGCGCGCGCGCGCGCACACACACACACACACACACACACACACACACACACACACACACACACACACACACACACACACCAAATCATGTTGAGGGCTTATCTTCCTCATTGTCAAAGTACAACCTCCCAAAAGCTAAAACAATTAAAAAATAGGAGTCTGAATATAATATTGATTATGCCTCAAAAAATGTACTTAACTCAGAAAGGAACTGGGCCACCAGCACCTGGCAGAGACCAATTCTGCAGTGTATTATGAGGACAAATCCATATAACGTTTGACATCAACTTTTTTCCAGGCCAAACATCATCTGCAATTTTCTGTGTATAAGTGAGTAACCCCAAACTCCAACCCGTCATCCAAGGCACAGCCTGAGACTCAGAGGAACCACAGGCTACCTTAAGACAATGCTGTACTGTAGCAGGACCTTGAAAGGGAGTGATTGTCTCTTTTGCCTTGAATTCTGGATAATTCCTAACCATTGGTGAACATCTAATACTTCACTTGAGCCATGTGAAAATTTTCTAACAACCCCTTAGAAGACTAGGTCTACCGAGAAAATAGAATTTATTCTTTCCTTTCAGAAGGCCTAGTAAGAGTAAGTGTGTCCTCAAACTTTTATGGGTTTGACTGTGGTGAGTAACATGAATCCATCAAGATTTGTGCACACTGTTTCCCATGCACAACAAAGCCCTGTCCCAGTCAACAGTTCTGTGGAGACGACTTTCATGTTCTTTCAAAGATGAGTCTAAACATACTGCAGGATGGAGCGTTAGGTTCAAAAGGCATGGAGAGTAGACAGAGACAGCTCAACACCAGCAGTTTTATTAGGGAGAAAAATCTGTGGAGGGGAGTCTCTAGCCCTAGAGACTCACTCTGGCTTTCTAGTGGGTCGTGGGAATGCTGGAGTCATTTGGTGGGGGTTGATATGAAAGTAACTAATGGTGGGACATAGATAATGTGCAAAATGGGTTGAAGCCAGAGGTAGGGAGGAAGCCAGGCAAGGGTATCTGCTCAAGGGCCTTATCTGTTAAAATTGGCAGTAAATTCTGGTCTGGTGCCAGCCACTAGAGTTACAAGCAGTCAAGAAGAGAGGGTATGGTGGGGAGTGGTTGTAAACCAAGGCACTGGTCTGGGGTCTCAAGATAAGGACATCTGGTTATTCTGACCTAATATAGAGTCCCTTATCCGAAATTCTTGGACCAGAAGTCCAAGAATTTTTTTTTAAGTTTGGAGATATTTACATTTAGCTGAGCTGTCTTGGGAATGAGACCAAAGTCTAAACATAAAACTCATTTGTTACATTTACACCTTATACACCTTATACCCAAAGGTAGTTTTATACGATATTTTAGTAACTTTTTGTATACCAAATCATCAAAAAACAAAGGTGCCGCTATCTTAGCCACAAATTGTATGTGGATAATCTGGTTGTTTGACATCATTCCTGATTCTGAATCTATATGCAATTGACAAGCAACCACTTTTTATACTTATTTTCACAAAAGTACTTCACAGTCAAAAATTTCCCATACTTCTGGTTGCAGATGGTTCACACCTATAATTCTTGCTAGTCAGGAGGTTGAGATTTGGAGGATCACAGCTTGAGACCAACCCAGTCAGATGTTTTGTTGGTCTCCATTTTCAAAACTAACCAACAAAAAAGGTGGCCTAGAAGCATGGCTCAAATGGTATAGCACCAGTCTAACAAGTATGAGGCCTTGAGTTCAAACTCCAATATAACCATATATATCTATATCTATATATACATGTCATATGTTTGATGCACTGAAAAAGTAATGTGTTGAATATTTGTTCAAAAATGTGTTGAACAAAGCAGCACAATAGCATCACTGGAATACCTGTTATCAGCTATTTACCAACAATAACAATAAACACTATGACTATAACTTGTCTCATGAGGTTATAGATAGAAATCTTCACTTGTGGTATCATGTTAATGTTCAAAGAGTTTCAAATCTTGGAGCATTTTGGATTTTCAGATTAGGGATGTTCAACATATATTACAAAAGCAAGCTGAAAACACACACAAAAAAGCTGCTGGTTCTAATTTTTTTTAAAGAAGTTACTTTTATAAAGTTTTAATTGCTTAGGACTCTTATTCTTTGCACTCTGTACTTCCTGAGGGATGGTTAGCTGAGGAAAGATTGCCTTAATTTCTTGAAAGTCCAGAGAGGAGCTTTAGACATTTTCCCTAACATCAACAATTCCTCATTATCAGTTAGAAGGACTGAACTTTGCCATTGTCTTTCTTTTTACTTTTCCTTTTGGTGGTACTTGGATTTAAATTCAAGGCCCTGCAGTTACTAAGCAGATTCTGCACCACTGAAATCATACCTCCAGCCCAGGACTTCAGCATTTTCTTGTCTTCTGTGGCAGTCTTGAACTCAGGGCTGGGCACTATCCCTGCCTGAAGTTTTTTGGCTCATGGCTAGCACTCTATCACTTGAGCATAGCTCCATTTCTGGCTCTTTCCTGGTTAACTGGAGATAAGAGGCTCAGAGTCTTTCCTTCCTAGGCTGGCTTCGAACCACAATCCTCAGATCTCAGCCTGTTGAGCAGCTAGGATTACAGGTGTTAGCCACCCCAACTGGCATTTTCTTTTTTTCTTGGTTGTGGGGCCTGAACTCTGGGCCTGGGCGCTGTCCCTCAGCTCTTTAGCTCAAGGCTAGCGCTCTACCACTTGAGCCACAGCACCACTTCCAGCTTTTTCTGTTTATGTGGTGCTGAGAATCGAACCCAGGGCCTCATGCATGCAAGGCAAGCACTCTACCACTGAGCCACCTTCCAAGCCCCTGGCATTTTCTAACTGTAGCATAGAAACCTCAGCAGGAGACTTGCTTATTTACTGCACAGCATATTGGGAAGGGAAGAACAAGTTCTCTATGTGTGATACCTGAAGCTTTTCAGCTCCCTTGGCCCTTTGCAAGTAATGTTCAGTTTGTTGGCAGTAGAAAGTCATTTTTTTTCTTTTTTTGTCAGTTGTGAGTCTTGAACACTGGGCCTGAGCACTCATTGTCTCTGAGCCCTTCAGCTCATGGCAAGTGCTCTACCACTTGAGCCACAGCACCACTTCCAGTTTTCTGGTGGTTAATTGGAGAGAAGAGTCTCATGGACTTTCCTGCCCAGGCTTTGAACCGTGATCCTCAGATCTCAGCCTTCTGAGTACCTAGAATTACAGGTGAGAGCCACTGGTGCCTGGCTAGAATGTGATTTCTGTACATAGTTCTTGAGAATCCATGCCTTAGATCCTGATCTGAGTGATGAAGAAAGCACTGAAACTCTCCCCTGTCCAAAGAACACAAGAGCAAGTAGATTTGCCTTGTAAGTCACCCCACAGCCAATTCCACGGTCCCTGTTAAAAGCATCTCCCCAAAAGGTCAGGATTTTCAATGCATATTAGATCAGTTTCACCTACTCTGTCTCTTATCAGTGTAGGAGGCCCATGCTGGGCACCTGGTTAGTGAGCTTACTCAGCATCTGATCTCATTTATGTGGCAAGTGTAAACACAAAGGAGCCCAAATGAAGTTATATACCCACTACCCTAATTTGAAGCATTGGAAAAAAACTGGAGGCAACTGCTTCAATATTTCCACCTCCCATGTTCTTGCTTCTGGGTTCAATGAAACTGTGAAGTCATGGTTGATAAAGCCAAGCTCTGCTGCCTGACTGACAAACCCTTGAGAGAAAGAAAACCATCCAAATGAAAATGTTCTAGAATGAGTGGAATGGTTGCGCAGCCTTGTGAATATTTTAAAGACCATTGAATTGCATACTTTGAAGAGGGAGAATTTCATGGTATATAAATTATACCTCAAGGGCTGGGAAGGTGGCTCAATGGTAGAGCGCTTGCCTTGCATGCCTGAGGCCCTGGGTTCGATTCCTCAGCACCACATAAGCAAAAAGAAAAAACCCAGAAGTGGCGCTGTGGCTCAAGTGGTAGAGCACTAGCCTTGAGCTGAAGAGCTGAGGGACAGCGTCCAGGCCCAGAGTTCAGGCCCCACAACTGGACCCAAAAATAAATAAATAAATAAATAAATTATATCTCAAGTATTTTTGAAGGTATCAGTGAGGGGAGCAGACTTTTTTTTCATTTTATTAAGCATGCTAAAGACTAGGATTCCCTGTTGGCAGGTCCTCGCGTTGTCCCTATAAACAATGATGCCGTTCCTGGTGGTAGAACAACCTGTCCACCACCATTTGAGGCACCAAGGCTGGGTCCTGCAGTCAGAGCCAGCTAGGCCAACTTCTAACTCTGTGTCCTTGAGGGCATTAACCTTCTGTCTACCTCTCGGCATACAGAAGCCTTGGAAATATCTTACACAACTTCATGTCATGTCTGGCTTCCCTGAAAATAAGGGCCAACATTCTTATTATAATCTTGTTGAAATTCCAAAATGTTATGTGAAATGGGTGACACCAAGATTACCTGGTTAACTGTCTTGGCTTATCTACAAATCTTTTGCCTCAATGTTTATACAGAAGCAAAGAAAAAGAAAGGCACAACAACTTAGCTGTTACTCAAAGCTTCAAAGTGCATCATATTCAAGGGACAGGCCATCACTTAAGCTTAGCTCCAAAGCTGGCTCCATTTTACAAAAGCAGAGGGATTTTTAATTCATTTGATGGGGAAAGGGACACCCATTCAGGAATTGGGGGAGTGTTCCCACAACTCCACAAGCTTTGGAAAACCTGGTTTTGTTTCAGCACAGTTCTTCACCGAGCTAGCTACAGGAAACAAACAGAGACAAAACACTAGCAGGCCATCAGACTCTTCAATGAAAATGTATTTCACACTGAACAGAATGCACACATCATGCATTTGAAATGAGGCATCACCACAGTCACAATGACACTATGAGATGTAACAGATCACAGCAAAACAGACATCTAGCCAAAGAAAGCCGCAACAAAGATGGCCAGGCATTTTCACAAATCAGACCATGCTATCATTTTCGGTGTGCTTGTCAGAAAAGGGATTCCCCAGTACTCATCAAGATCAATTACACTACATTTTTAGAGGCATGTATTTTATTTAGTATATACACATACACAAACATACAGTTTCCATAGCTAATAAAGTCTTAAACTGTAGCTGGCTTTAAAAGCGAGTGGACAAGATTACTACTGAAACTTCTTTATATTTCCTGGTGGTCAACCTTTCTTTCCAAATCCTTTATGGTATAAGTTAAAACAAATGTCTCAAACAAGAAAAGGTCATTTTGATTTGAAAGCCACATTTAACGCAAGAAATTAATTTAAGGAAACAGCAATATATGGAATAAAATGCATGGAATTTTCATTCTAGTGGCATTCTTCCCAGATTTTTTTTAATGTTAAAGTCTGTTAAAAAGATGTGCCAGGACCAATTTGAGGCCTCCTTGTTTCAGAGCACTGTGACTTTTATGACAGTTGAGAAAGCACAGGAATAATCAAAGAAAGAAAACCCCCAAGATCTAATAGCAAAAAAAATAGCAAAACCATGAAAATCAACCACCTGCATGTGAGATACATAACTCCTTCAGTTGGAAGGCCACTTGTGGAGATTGTTAAGGTATGACAAGAAAATGTCCTGGCTAGATTGAGTTGCTCAGGGACATAAAAATATGAGTAAGAGAAAAGAAATCATTACTCATTGTTTAGTTCTTCCTTGTCCAACCAAACTTACAACTTTAACCCCCAACCCCCAAAACAGTAATGTGGTTAATGCATTTGCAGGTGGCAAAGCTTAATAATAATAATAATAATAACAATAAAAGGATTTCCTGACATTACTTTCCAACAGAGAAACCCTAGAGTGAGAGAAACTGCTGAATTTCTTCTCCATCTAAACCAAGACAGGGAGATACACAGCTCAAGTCAAGTACATGTTTAACCAGAGTTCTGGTCATGTAGAGAGTATTTAATAGGAAGAGATATCTAAATGTTTTTGTGCTCCAACTCTGAGAATGAGAGCGGTCATGGGTGAAGTTCTGAGCCAGCATCACTCAGGTTGACAGGCTCACCATGAAACTAGAGAAAGAAAGGAAATGCTCTAGCAGCAGCAGAAGCTCAGAACTAGAACTGTAGAATGTAACTTCACTAAAGCCCAGTAAGGCCAAAGTCTGGAGGTTTCTACCAAGAGGCCAGTGTTTGACATACTACCTAGGAATATAGTTACATTCCAATCTAATATTTTTGGAATGCGGCTACAGAAGCTCCATCAGGTGGCCAGCAGCTCAGATTGGACTCCCAGCAGTGTCCGGGGTGCTCCAAACTCCACCTGTGGCAAAAACAAAATCACATGAGACCAATACAGAAACCAGTATCTTGTACTTGGTAATTGCATTTTCCTTGGTTCATAGATTAGTCCTGATCAACAGAAGTACTGCAGTATTTTGTACATGATCTTTATATGAGGTGGGTCCAATTTTCCTGGTGTGAGAATTTTCTAACACCTGCAGATGTCCCCATTCCTGTGCTTGCTTTTTTTTTTTTTTAACCTTTGAGCAAAGGAGAGCCCTACTTAATCTGGAAAGGTTGAACATACTGCTTCAGGAGGGATGCACATGGAATAGGAGAAGATAGCAACATCTTACTGGCCAGTCAGAGTCTCCTTTACTCAAACCTATAGATAATTTCATGTCACACATCCGACTGAATGTCTTCAGGCATTGTGATATTTAAAAAAAAATGCTGGGCTAAGAATGTGGCTCAGTGGTAGAGCACTTGCCTCGCATGTATGAGGCCCTGAGTTCGATTCCTTAGCACCACATAAACAGAAAAAGCTGGAAGTGGCACTGTGGATCAAGTGGTAGGACGCTCACCTTGAGCTGAAGAGCTGAGGGACAGGGCCCAGGCCCAGAGTTCAAGCCCCACGACTGACAAAAACAAACAAACAAAAAACACCAAATGCTCCCTAGTGAGGGTTGCACCACCTCTTGTTCAGAAGGACTTGAGAACTAGTCTTTTTATTTTTTGCCAGTCCTGGGCACTGTCACTGAGCTTCTTTTGCTCAAGGTTAGCACTCTACCATTTGAGCCACAGCACCACTTCTGGCTTTTTCTGTTTATGTAGTACTGAGGAATCCAACACAGGGCTTTCTGCATGCTAGGCAAGCACTCTACCAGTAGGACACATTCCCAGCCCTGAGAACTAGTCTTTATCATACATGAAAATATATAAACAGGGCTGGGAAGGTGGCTCAGTGGTAGAGCGCTTGCCTTGCAGGCATGAGGCCCTGGGTTCGATTCCTCAGCACCACATAAGCAGAAGAAAAAAAAACGGAAGTGGCACTGTGGCTCAAGTGGTAGAGCACTAGCCTTGAGCTGAAGAGCTGAGGGACAGCACCCAGGCCCAGAGTTCAGGCCCCACGACCGGAAAAAAAAAAAAAAAGAAAGAAAAAAGAAAATATATAAACAAAGTTGGGCATGGTTGACTCATTCCTGTAATCCTAGCTACTCTGGAGGCTGAGATCTGAGAACCATGGTTCAAAGGCTGCTTGGGCAGAAAAGCCCCAGAGCCTCTATCATCAATTATCCAGAAAAAAAGCTGGACTGGAGGCATGATCAAGTGGTAGAATGCCAGCTATGAGAGGAAAAAGCCAAGCAAGAGTGCTAGTCTCATAGGCTGGGAATGTGGCTTAGTAGTAGAGTGCTTGCCTAGCATGCATGAAGCCCTAAGTTCGATTCCTCAGTACCACATAAACAGAAAGAGCCAGAAGTGGTGCTGTGCCTCAAGTGGTGGAGTGCTAGCCTTGAGCAAAAGCAGATCAGGACAGTGCCCAGGCCTTGAGTTCAAGCCCCAGCACTGGCAGAAAGGAAAAAAAAGAGTTCTAGGCCCTGAGTACTGACATCAATATATGTATACATGTAGTGTGTGTGCACGAGTATGCACATATATGCACACTTGTGTGCTAGTTCTAGGACTTGAACGCAAGGCCTGGGCACCATTCTTGAGTTTTGTGCTCAAGGTCAGTGCTCTACTACTTTGAGCCACAGCATAATTTCTGGCTTTTTGGTAATTAATTGCCGATAAGAGTCACACGGACTTCCCTGACCAGGCTAGCTTCAAATGGCAATCCTCAGATCTCAGCCTCCTGAATAGCTAGGATTACAAGCGTGAGCCACCGGCACCCAGCAGGTTAGTGTTTGTAAATGTCCAAGAAAGCAGCTGCTTTATCAAACCAGGTATCTGGTTTACTGTACAAGTGACCTGTTAGACCTTTCCACTCACATGTTAATGCACTACAGGTGCTTTCTTGAAATCTGAGAGAAAGAAACCCTAAAACTCACCTATGGACAAAAGCTGAGGCCTGGTGGAAATACATATACAAACCACAGAAAGCTTAGCTATGCAGCATTTCCACCCTGTTACCTCACTTGAGAAATAAAGAGGTTGGACTAAATCATTTTAGGCATCAAATTTCTATAAGAGGAATGCAGCATCATAAAAACTAAAGTGACAGAGAATGCCAAGAATATAAAAAAGGTTTTCCTAAGAGTCTAAAATGGCAGGAGTAATTGGATGTATTCATTTCTTGAAGGATTTGGTGAAAGATTATAATTATGTTTTCATTATTCAAAAATCAAGTGCCAAACTGAAGTAGATCAAATGTGAATTGCTAAGCACACGTAACTACAGACTCCCCATGGACTTTCCCTAGTTATAACACATAGATATTCTCACTCATATAACAGGGCTGGGGTGTAGTTAAGGGTCTATAGAGTGTAAGTTTTACATGTGCAGGCCGTGTGTGTGTGTGTGTGTGTGTGTGTGTGTGTGTGTGTGTGTGTATGGTGGGGGGGGAGGAAGGGGGGAGGCAGAACATATAACAGGTGAGGGACAAAGGAAGCAGAGAAAACAGAAATGCTTTGGCAAGAAAAACATTAGGTCAGCTGGGCACTTGGCTTATGTCTATAATCTTAGCTACTCAGGAGGCTGAGATCCGAAGGTCGTGCTTTGAAGCTAGCCTGGGCAGAGATGTCTGTGAGACTCTTATCTCCAATTAGCCACCAAAAGCAGCCTGGAGTGGAGGTGTGGTTCAAGTGATAGAGTGCTAGCTTTTGGGCCTGAGTTTAAGCCCCAGTACCACAAACCAAAATAAAATAACACCACAACTAGCAAAAATCCAAGCTGGAAGAATGGTTCAAATAGTAAAACACCACTCAAGCAAGCTAGCCAAGCAACTGTTTGTTTTTAAGTGGTCATGGGGCTTGAACTCTGGGCCTGGGCGCTGTCCCTCAGCTCTTCAGCTCAAGGCAAGTGCTCTACCACTTGAGCCACAGCACCACTTCTGGTTTTCTGGTGGTTTACTGAAGATAAGAGTCTCACACAAGCCGGGCGCTGGTGGCTCACGCCTGTAATCCTAGCTACTCAGGAGGCTGAGATCTGAAGATCGTGGTTCAAAGCCAGCCCGGGCAGGAGAGACCGTGAGACTCCTATCTCCAATAAACCACCAGAAAACCGGAAGTGGCGCTGTAGCTCAAGTGGTAGAGCGCTCGCCTTGAGCTGAAGAGCTGAGGGACAGCGCCCAGGCCCAGAGTTCAAGCCCCATGACCGACAAAAAAAAAAAAAAAAGAGTCTCACACAGAGGAGCTGGGAAGGTGGCTCAGTGGTAGAGTGCTTGTCTTGCATGCATGAGGCCCTCCCTTCGATTCCTCAGCACCACATAAGCAGAAAAAGCCGGAAGTGGGGCTGAGGCTAAAGTGGTAGAGTGCTGGTCTACCGCTGAAGAGGGAACAGCACCCAGGCCCAGAGTTCAGGACCGACTACTGACAAAACAAAAACAAAAAAAAAAGAGCTGGGTGGGGGTCCTCACGCCTGTAATCCTAGCTACTCAGGAGGCTGAGATCTGAGGATCTTGGTTCAAAGCCAGCCCTGGCAAGAAAGTCCGTGAAACTCTTATCTCCAATAAACACTCAGAAAAGTGGCGCGTAGCTCAAGTGGTAGAGCGCTAGCCTTGAGCTGAAGAGCTGAGGGACAGCACCAGGCTCAGAGTTCAAGCCCCACGACCGACAAAAAAAAAAAAAAAGTCTCACACACTTTCCTGCCCAGTTTGGCTTCAAACAGCAATCCTCAGATCTCAGCCTCCTGAGTAACTAGGATTACAGGCATGAGCTACCAGTGCCCAGAAAGGTGCTACATTTTTATAGACAAGGATTAGGAGGTGCTGAGTCCATTTCTTTCTGTTGTTTTTGCCATTCCTGGGACTTGAACTCAGAGCCTGGGCACTGTCCCTGAGGTTCTCTGTGCTCAAGGCTAGCACTGTATCACTTGAGCCACAGCACCACTTCCAGACTTTTATGTGTATGTGGTACTGAGGAATCAAACCCAGGGCTTTATGCATGCTAGGCAAGCACTCTACTAGTAAGCCACATTCTCAGTCCCTGAGTCCATTTCTTTAGCCTATGCTTCTCAAACTTCCATCTTAATCCTCAAACTGCAGGAACAACATAGCAGGGTACTGGAGGCTTGTGTATAGAGAAATGAATTAATATCCATCTCAAGTATTGTGTTGCTGCAGTATATACCACAATATATTCATGTCCACATTTTTCAAATAAAATTGGCCATTCAAGAAGCTGGATAATAGTTATGTTAAACCCTAGGGGAGTTATGGACTAGAGTATCATCAAAAGACTTTACCTTTCATTAAAAGGTCGTTGTTTTGTCAACAGAAGGTATTCAGAGTAGTTTCTTGGCCAGGGCTGTTAAATCCTTCAATAAGGTTTTTGTTACAGTCATCCAGGCTGAGGTTTTCACTGGATTTCTTGGTGAATGCTGGAGGGCCAGTGAAATCTAAGATATCTTGAAGTGCGCGGGCATTGCCAGTTCCATTTTGGTCCAGAGACATACCAGGAATCATTTCACTCACTGGTGAAAATTCTGGGATGGAGATAAGTTCTTCTTTGGAAACAGGGCTAGAAAAGATGAGAGAGAGACAGAAGTGGGGACAGAACCTAAGGAGTCAGCTCGATTAGCTGGGTGCTAGTGGATCTCAACTGTAAGGTTACTCAAAAGGCTGACATCTGAAGATCTTGGTTTGAAGGCAAAAGAAATCTATGGGGCTGGGAAGGTGGCTCCGTGGTAGAGCGCTTGCCTTGCATGCCTGAGGCCCTGGGTTCGATTCCTCAGCACCACATAAGCAAAAAGAAAAAAGCCGGAAGTGGCGCTGTGGCTCAAGTGGTAGAGCGCTAGCCTTGAGCTGAAGAGCTGAGGGACAGCGCCCAGGCCCAGAGTTCAGGCCCCATGACCGGACCCAAAAAAAAAAAAAAAGATATCTGTGACACTCATCTCCAAATCAACCAGCAAAAAGCTGGAGCTGGAGCTAGAGGTGTAACTCAAGTGGTAGAGCACTTGAGCAAAAAAGTCAAGTGAGAACCAGGCACTGGTGACACCTAGGCTAGCTACTCAGGAGGCTGAGATCTGAAGATCATGGTTTGAAACGAACCCTGGGCAGGAAAGTCTGTGAGACTCCGATCTCCAATAAACTACTCAGAAAAAAGCCAGAAGTGGTGCTATGGTTCAAGTGGTAGAGTGCTAGCCTTGAGCACAAAAAGACTCAGGGACAGCATCCAGGCCCTGAGTTCAAGCTCCAGGACTGATACAAAAGATAAAACAAAGTAAGAACTAAGCATGTGTTTATGTACTTCATTCTGTTTGTAGTATTTTGTTCTATTCTTCTTCTATAAAAGTTGTGTGTATAGCCGGCGCTGGTGGCTCACGCCTGTCATCCTAGCTACTCAGGAGGCTGAGATCTGAGGATTGCGGTTCAAAGCCAGCCCGGGCAGGAAAAGTCCGTGAATAGCTGAAGAGCTCAGGGACAACACCCAGGCCCAGAGTTCAAGCCCCCAACAGACAAAAAAAAAAGGCCTATTTCACCCACTGTCTCCTATCTAAAACCAAGTTTCCAATTCACCATGACTTATCCAGGAATAAGCCTTATGTTTCTCTCTCTCTCTTTCTCTGTCTCTCTTCTCCCTAGAAGTGAAAGGCATTTCACTGTTGTCTGCTGTAGGCCTAGTAAGCAGCAAATCTGAGCCCAGAAGAGTGGAAGGCTACGAATTCAGGGACCATCCCCAGGAGTCTCAATAACTAGAGTAAGGCTGCTACCAGGTTCTTCTCTTCTTCTTTGATGAAATCTGAGAGAAGAATCTAGAAAAACCAGTTGAACTGCAGAAGCACCCACAGAAGCCCCACCTTCTTCACATGTGCACCCAGCGAAGGGGCAGCCACTGACCTGGTATCTCCTCTGGTGTATGAAGCAAGCATAGGCAAACTGCCTCACTCAGCAGAAACAGTCTGCCCCAGGTTCTGTCACAGGCTTTGGTGCAGCACCAGGACTCACATATCTTTAAGCATACAAAACCCCTTCAATTTCTCAACTGTGCCAATAGTGACACGTGCTGTCCCCTTCCTGCCCCCACTCGGAGACATAAAAGAATAAGTACAGGGCTGGGAATGTGGCTTAGTGGAAGAGTGCTTGCCTACCATGCATGAAGCCCTGGGTTCAATTCCTCAGTATCTAATAAACAGAAAAACCAGAAGTGGTGCTGTGACAAGAGTGCTAGCCTTATGTAAAAGAAACTCAGGGACAGTGCCCTGGCCCTGAGTTCAAGCCCCAGGACTGGCTCCCCGACCCCCCCAAAAAAGAATGAAAGACTAAGTACAGCTGGCTCTATGTGGGGGTGGGGTTATGTTGTATTAACCCTTAAAACTGCCCCAGCGTTTTCTGCCGTGGGCAGAGTGGCACCCATCAGGGGATGGTGGCCATCATAGTGGTGCTAGGGCCAGGAGAGCTCCAGGCAAGGGTTGAAGGGCCCTGCTGTCAGTCCACAAAGGATCTCTCCTGTAGATGGGACTGCTGGATGCTGGCTTTTCATATATCTGGTTCAAGCTCAGTGCGGATGTGTGGGCTATTTACAACCAGTGTGTCATAGGAACCCCATGCTTCCACCCCCATCCTCTCTCTGGTAGAGCTTTTATACAATACTGTCATACTGTCCTGACTAACAGAGCCACCCCCTACTCCAACTGCCCTGCCCAAGGTGATGTGTGTGCTTTATAATGCCTCTGCTTCAATCCCACACTAATTGGCTCTTCTTTTGGCTGGAATTCATTTCCCAGGCATACCAGCTTAAGAATTCTTTAGGCTTTTAGTATCTGAAAATATATTAGTTCTTTTCTCAAATCTCTACTGACAAGCTTTCTGAAATATGAGACTCTGGACACAGGAGACCCTGTTGATGCTCAGCCAGAACTCCTATACCTACCTGCAGGTAAAGAGTCACAGTTGCCACCATTTCTCTAGACAACTTCCTTTCATTGACACAGTCCTTTAGTGTCCAGTTAGTCCTATATCACTTACCCAGGCAGGGGTCCCATAGAGAAGACTGATGAATATAGTGGTACAAAAGCTATCTGCCAGCTGGGCACTGGTAGCTCACATCTGTAATCCTAGCTGCTCAGGAGGCTGAGATCTGAGGATCACTGCTCAAAGCTAGCCCAGGCAGGAACGTCCGTGAGACTCTTATCTCCAATTAACCACCAGGAAACTGGAATGGCACTGTGGCTCAAGTGGTAGAGTGCTCACCTTAAACTGTAGAGCTACCTGTCATTAACTCAATAAGGCAACTTTGGTGGAAATTCACCCCCTAGGGGTCCTGGGGGATTATCTGAGAATATATCCTTGTTCAGTGTTTCCCTCTTTTCCCTTCTTCCTGAGAAATACTGAACATCCTCCCCCAATAAATCCTATGATAAGAAACTTGGGCCCTGGCCCTATTTCCAGGGCACCCAACCCAAGACTCTAGTATTACACCACTGTCAGCTTCTCATATCAACCAAACCTGCTTTGTAGATGACTGATTAAGAAATCATATTTAGGGGTTGGGAAGGTGGCTCAGTGAAAGAGTGCTTGCCTTGCATGAATGAGGCCCTGGGTTCAATTCCTCAGCACCACATACGCAGAAGAAGCCAGAAGTGGCACTGTGGCTTAAGTGGTAGAGTGCTAGCCTTGAGCTGAAGAGCTGAGGGACAGCGCCCAGGCCCAGAGTTCAGGCCCATGACCAACAAAACAATAAAAGACAATATTTAGAGAAGAGATGAAATGTAAAATATTAACATACCTTACATCCATAGACTGAACTTCTTCAGTGGAGTCATCCAAACTGTTTGATTTCCCATCAAGGGCATCCAAATGAACAAGCCCCCTGACTGGTTTAAACCCATTAGAGAAAATGTCTCGAGGAAAAGCTTCTGGGCCAGTGGGTCCCACACCATTAACTTCCTGGCAGGTGTTTAACCCATTGATTTCTGATAAAACACACACACACACACAAAAACAAAACAAAACAAAAAAAGCAAAGTCCCTGTGTAAATAATCAAATATCCCCAACCGAAACAATGGCAAATATATAACAAGGTCATTAACTTAATTCTCTTTTTTCACCAATATGTTTTATGGAAAGAACCAATATTAACCCATGTCATTAACTTCCCACAGGGGAAGCAGAGACAGATCACATTATCAGTTTGTAGGGCCTCTGGAGGACAGAATCAGATCTGAACAGCATCTGATCTAAAGCATCCTGGGCTGGCTGATGGATGGCATGGATTATTAGAGTAAGCAAGGAAGCCAGCAGTGTTCCAAATGGAGCCATAGCCCCAGCACTGGAAGGATGCCCAGGAAGCAAATCTGCTGGCAACCACGCTCTGGGGACCTAGAGATACTTTTGCCCCACAGCAGCTTTTACTAGTCCTCGTTATTGAAAGGAAGAACCAAACCAGACCTCATACTTACCTATTTTATTGGGCACAATTGATTTTGTCTTATTTTCCACACACGTACCAGGCTGAATCTCTACTTTGGGAGATTCCTCTTTCTGAAATCAAACAGAAGCTGAGTGAAAATAGGGAAGGTTGTCATGACAAATGCTTTTGAAAAGCACCAGCCACCAGGCACCAGTGACTCATGCCTAGCTCACATAATCCTAGCTGCTCCAGGAGGCTGAGATCTGAGGATCACAGTTCAAAGCCATCCTGGGCAGAATAGTCCATGCAACTCTTATCTCTAACCACCAAAAAGCTGGAACTGGAGCTCTGGCTCAAGTGGTAGAGTGCTAACCTTGTAGCATAAAAGCTCAGGAACAACATCCAGTGCCTGAATCCAAGCCCCAGGACACACACACACACACACACACACACACACACACACACACACACACACACACACACACACACACACACACACACACACACACACACACACACACACACACACACACACACACACACACACACACAGAGCTCAGGGACAGTGACCAGACCCTGAGTTCAAGCCCCAGAACTGGCACAAACAGACAAAGAAAAAAGCACCAGGGAATGTTCATCTGCCTGTTACAGATAATTCTTAAGACTCTTTAGCTGTATTTCCCTTATTCTCTTGCATTTATGGGCTCATCATTACTTCCTCTGCATACCCATTCCAGTTCTCTGATGAAATCTTTCATTTGTTCAATCTCTTACACTTCTGTTTTCTTTATGAGCTGGTCAGAAACAGGCTAGAAAGAGTCCATTTTTTTTTCTGGCTAGCTCTCCTCCAACTTCACTGAATGCATTCTTTTGTTCTTTCCCACTCAGCATGGAATTTTCAGAAAAATCCCCACCTTTACTTCTGGAGGCACATCACTCTTCCTTGTTCTCTTCATGATTTCATCTATTCTCTGGAAGCCGTGAAGAAAAAGACCAAAAACGTAAAGCAATTGAGTCTATATGTAATTTCATACTTATAAGAAAACTTCTAAATGATCAATGTCAGCAAAGGATAACAACTACAGGACAGTTTTCCATTCCCCGTTTTAAAGATGGACACCTCTGACCCTATGAACACAGTCAAGTGAAGTGTACTAGTCCATACCTACAATTTATATTCAATTTAAAGCTCATCTTTCTCCATAAGTTCTCTATAAATCAACAACTCACCAGCTGCCATTGAAAGGACTACTCTACAGAACATGAAATTGATCCAGGAGTGGTGGCTCATGCCTGTAATCTTAGCTACACAGAAGGTGGAACTGGAGGGGGGAGGAGGAAGAGCACTCTCAGTCAGCAATTGATGAGTCAAGATGACACAAAAAACCCCCACTTGCTGAGTGTTAGTGGCTCATGCCTGTAATCCTACTACTCAGGAGGCCGAGATCTGAGGATTGTGGTTCAAAGCCAGCTCAGGCAGTAAAGTCTGTGAGATTTGATCTCCAATTAACTACCAGAAAACCAAAAGTGGCACTATGCCTCCAAGTGGTAGAGTGCTAGCCTTGAGCAAAAACAACCAAACAAACAAACAAGCTGGGGGCTGGGAAGGTGGCTCAGTGGTAGCGTGCTTGCCTTGCATGCATGAGGCCCTGGGTTCAATTACTCAGCACCACATAAGCAGAAAAAAGCCAGAAGTGGTGCTGTGGCTCAAGTGGTAGAGTGCTAGCCTTGAGCTGAAGAGCTGAGGGACAGTGCCCAGGCCCAGAGTTCAGGCCCCACGACCGACAACAACAACAGCAAAAACAAGCTGAGGGAGAGCGCCCAAGACCTGAGATCAAGCCCCAGGGTACACACAGACACAGACACAGACACAGACACAGACAGACACACACGCCTGCACTTGACTTAATTGACATATTTAAGAATATTCTACCCAAGTACTGCAAAACAAAACTGGACTCACTTCTGTTCCTGCCTCACCCTCGGCCTTTACCTTCTTCCTTTCTAGCCGTTCCTGCTCGATCTGCAGCATGATCTGTTCTCTTTCTAGACGCATCTGTTTAACTGCCTCCTGGGCCTTTGCTTCTGCTGCTTCTTTCTGAAATTGAGAGAGAAACCAAGGCACAGGAGTTATTAAGCTAAGAAAACATGGTAGTAATTCCCTAGGGTTTGCACAAGTTTCTTTCCCCTCATTGTGTGCCCCGAAGTGGCTAGTTAATGTTCAATCTTCAATGTGGAGTTACACAAGCTGCTTTATGACCTAAACACAGGGTCAGGCTGCATTCACATACACTCACACTCAGTCTACTATGTAAATCACCTGCAGACAGTTCTTCTACACATGGCCACGGTTTCTCTGTAGAGAGACAAAGGTCTCCCTGTGTTAGTAGCAGAGTTTGACCAGAAAGTCCACATAAACTTCTCCAAGGAGCAATCTTCCACAATAAGTGGCAGTGCTGGTAGGTAAACTGTCCATTTTCCCGCATCCCTCGAAGGACAATTCTAAGCATGATCCTCACTCTCTCAAGTCTCAATGGCAATGAGTTTCAGTTGCTCATAGTAACCCATTCATCAGTATACTTACTATTCTCTCAAACTCTTACTAGTTTCATGAGCTTTACTCTTTTTTGGGGGCGGGGGTCGTGGGGCTTGAACTCTGAGCCTGGATGCTGTCCCTCAGCACTTCAGCTCAAGGCAAGCCCTCTACCACTTGAGCCACAGTGCCACTTCCAGTTTTTTGGTGGTTTATTGGAGAAAAGAGTCTCACAGACTTTCCTGACTGGGCTGGCTTTGAATCTTGATCCTCAGATCTCAGCCTCCTAAGTAGTTTTAGGATTACAGGCATGAGCCACTGGTGCCTAGCGAGCTCTACTCTTAAATAAACTACTGGAACACAAATTCTTACTCCAGGGTCTGTCTTTGGGAAGAACTCAAACTCAAAGACAGTAAACATTACTAATTTTGATTGTTCCAAGAAATTTATATTTAATAACTAGCATAGTCAGGTTAAGAAAAAAAAAGGAAGTAACTATTATGTCATTCAAACTTAATGTTTACTTGTTAACAAAAGCCCTTGCAAAACACAGGAAACCTGAGGACCTGGACTTTACCTGCTTTACAATCAAGGCTTTCTCTTGCTCTTCTTTTTCTTGCTTCTCTTTCAACAACAGCTCCTCCTTAGCCTTCTGTTTGGCCTCTATCTCTGCCTTTCTTTTCTCTTCCTCTTCCTGCTGCTTCTTTGCCTCTTCTTGCTTACGAGCTGCTGCTTCTTGGCGCAGTCTCTCCTCCTCTGCCTTTCTTTTCAACTCCTCTCTCTCCAGCCTTTTGAGAACATAAGCGTTGTTAGAAGACAAAGGCAAATCACCTAAGAATCTTGTGCAGATAGTGGTGGATAATGCTAACAAATAACGTGAATCAGACTTCGTCCATATGCCTACAAAGATATTAACCAGGCTTGACTTTAAATCTGTACTAGACAAGAACAATTCATTGATTTGTAAGCCTACTACTGGGAAGACACAGATACTCCCTTGTCACTTTGTAAATCACCATGATGACACAGGAGGCCAAACCCTAACATTTGTATTTTATGGCAATTCCTAAGAAATATTCAAAACCAACTAAAGCTAAAAAAAAAAATAGTGAGGTGGGGATTGTTGTAATGGTCACAAATGTGTCAGTCAGCAACTGAAGAGCAATGACCACAAGCTCAAACAGTTTACTTTGGCTTCTAATTGAGGTATGTATGACTTTGGAAGCAGCTGACTGAAGAAAACATTCAACCAAAATTCAGTATCTGATACAGAAGTTAAAGCATCTACTTTCCACTGATTTTGGCATTCTTTAAAAAATCTACTTTTGTATTTAGTATTTGTATTTTGTATTTAGAAGTAGTATTTCGGTATTTTCATCCACAGATGACTGGTTCCTGACATAATGCTAAAGAGCTCTAAGTAGCAAGGGAAAACTGCTAAAGGTAAAGTCTAAAGCTTGTTTTTGCATTTTTTTGTGCTGGTATTGGAGCTCAGACTTAGGGTCATGATCTCACTCAGCTTTCCTCCTAACAACTGTCACTCTACCACCTGAATCATACCTCCAGCTCAGATTTTTGCTGGTTAATTGGAGATGAAGTCTCAGACTTTTCTGCCCAGGTTGGCTCAAATCTCAGCCTCCTCAGTAGATTCCTATTACATTTCTAATATTCTTGCTTCTGACAAGTCATCCCTTTCTTCAGCTAGTCATTGGCAACGTAAGACCCAAATCACATTTTAACTGTGCTACTCACTGTGTGCACCTGGAAATTCGTTTAACATTTATTATGCTCATAGGAATGGCCCTACTATGGGAATGTCCCTACTATGCCTCATGGCATTCTTCTGAGACATAAATGAAATACTGAATGGCAATGTTTGGCCCTGGAACACTCAAATTATCAGTTTTACAATTTAAAATGAATCCTCCCTCCAAGCCCAATGACCTTTGGAGTGCATCTATAAATTGGTATTTTTTAAAAAAGTAATTACCTTCATTTAAAAGATAAGACTTAGTCCGACGGTGGTTTACGCCTGTAATCCCTAGTTACTCAGGAAGCTGAGATCTGAGGACTGCAGTTCAAAACTGGGCAGGAAAGTTCCTGAGACTCTGATCTCCAATTAACCATCAAAAAGCCAGACGGGGTAAGGAGGGACATTGTCCAAGAAAAAAAGAAATGTGCTCATTATCTGACTTAGGAAATGGTAATCCCTTTGTATAACATGTAAAAATAAAAGTAACATTTTTTTTTAAGCCAGAAGTGGATCTGTGGCTCAAGTGGTAAAGCACTAGCCTTAAGTACAAAAGCTCAGGGACAGTCCGCAGGCCTTGTGCTCAAGCCCAAGCACTGGCATTTAAAAAAGAGGGGGGGGGCTGGGAAGGTGGCTCGGTGGTAGAGCACTAGCTTTGAGCTGAAGATCTGAGGGACAGCGCCCAGGCCCAGAGTTCAGGCTCCACGACCGGACCCCCCCCCCCAAAAAAAAGAGGGCTGGGAATGTGGCTTAGTGGTAGAACGTTTGCCTAGCATGTATGAAGCCCTAGGTTCTATTCCTCAGTACCACATAAACATAAAAAGCCAGAAGTGGTGCTCTGGCTCAAAGGGTAGAGTGCTAGCCTTGAGCAAAAGAAGTTTAGGGACAGTGCCCAGACTGAGTTCAAGCCCCAGTACTGGCAAAAAAAAAAAAAAAAAAAGATAAAGCCAGGCATAGGTGGCTCATGGCTGTAATCCCAGCTACTCAGGAGGAAGAGATTTGAGGATCATGGTTCAAAGCCAGCCAAGGCAGAAAATTCCATGAGACTCTTATCTCCCATTAACTACCCCAAGAAGCCAGAAATGACACTGTGGCTCAAAGTGGTAGAGCACTGTCTTTGAGCAAAGCAAGCACAGGGACGTGAGCACCCAGATCCTGAGTTCAAGCCCCAGGACTGGCATGAACAAAAAAAAGACTTAAAAAGAACATCTTTCTATTCTAATAGTTACCTTCCCAGATCAGACAGGCTAGGTCTCACCAAAGAAATATTTTAAAAGGTGAAAAAAAAAATGCTTAAAGGGGTTAGCCCAAGACTATACCAGTAAATACCATACTCTACCAGCAGAGGCTGCACTTCCTAAAAGCATGGTAAAGCAACTGGAATAAACAACTGAAATAAAGAGAAGAGCATTATGGGGTTTAGTCAGAAAGACACTTCTGTTCTAAGTATGTTCAGCACAAATTTTCAAAACTGGATTGCTACGATTTATCCAACGGTTAATCAGAATGCTGCTTCTTTTCTTAATCCCTTTTTAAAGAATCAATGTGATCATCCTAGAAAAGTTAAAACAAAGGAAAAGGCATATGAGTTAATCATGTACAAGGTACTTTCACAAAACACCTGCTATCTTCATCTATATTGCTCTTCAGGATCTGAAAATCTACTATTCTCTTTTTACCATTGGGATTACAAGGTGTTCATGTACACACACACACACATACACACACACACACACACACACACACACACAACACACACACATTATACATATAGCCATCTAACATCACTGTGGTTCTCATCTTTAATCCCTTTGTCATCTAAAACATAAATACTCCCTTATAGGTCCATCCACCCATTCGTCATTTCCAGATGCCTCCACAGAAATCTTATCTTCTTATGAACAAAAATTCCCTCCTCATAACCTTACTTTGTTTCCCCCAAATAGGTAGAGTGGCACTGAAAGGAAAATGGCTTCCTTTCCAAGTATGAGCATTCTTTCTTTCCCTGCTTAAGTAACCAGACACAGCATTTTTACAGGTTGCCCCCAGACAATCACCTCTGACATTGTGAACTCCCTCCAGAGCTCACCAAACCACTGGGAGCGTCTATCTCCCTCACATCCTTGTTGCCATTTCCTCCAAACCCACCTCTCCTTCCCTAATCAAGTTGAAAGAACCAGAAAACCAGGTGTCATTGTCATCATTCAGCATTTAACAGATGAATCATTTGTCCCTGCCATTGGTGAGAATCTTAATATAATGGCCCCATCTCTCAATCGCTTAAGTATGCCCCAACCCCATTTGTTGTACCCAGTCATACCTTGCTCATACCACTGACACGTGCTCAGCCTTGAATTGTTTGATCTTGTAGATGAGGAGGTCAGCTTCTCTGTTTTCTATTCCTATGCACTTAAATTATCCATTACAGAGAAGACTGGGTCTAAGATCTGAGAGATTTTGCTTCTTGTTTTTTGTTTTGCTGGTCCTGGGGCTTGAACTTAGGGCCTGGGCTCTGTCCCTGAGCCTCTTTGTGCCAAGGCTATTGCTCTACCACTTGAGCCACAGCACCACTCCCGGCTTTTTCTGAGTAATTTATTTGAGATGAGTCTCTTGGGCTTTCCTGCCAGGGCTGGCTTTGAACATTGATCCCCTAAACAGCTAGGATTACAGGCATGTGCCATCAGCACCTGGCTTAAGATTTTGCTTCTTTATATAAGGTATTACTGCTGAAAATTTGTCCTGCTTCTTCTTTTGTCTAAGAGGAAAAGAACTATAAATAGCATGATTTGTGCTATGGATTCTACAACTTTATGTTCTTGATAGTCCCTTTTCCTTCCAGTGCCAGTTTGACCCTTCTGTATGCAACTTTCCAAGGACTGCAAAAATCATCCAAGGTCTTGGTCATCCTAAACCATTCTTCCTAGTCCTCTCCTATTTGCCTTCCACTGTGACCACAGAATGCTCCCTTATATTCAGGGCCTCCAACCTCTCAAACTTTTTTTCAGGTTACTTCAGACCTCTATTCCTCTTCTTAGTCACTTCCCTCCAAAACATTTCTGTCTCTGAAACTCCAAGACTGGTAGTCTTTTCTCACCCTCAGTATGTCTCACAGGTACCAACTACATTGAACCTCCCTCCTTCTCTACAATGTGGACCATGTGAGACTATGCCAGACTATGCCGTTTCAATTCTTTGCCGCCTCCACTGCCATTCCTGCTCTGCTGTTTGTTCCACATAGGAGAGTCCCTGCCTGCCCCCTAGAGGCTGAGCCAGTGAGAGCTCAGGTCTGAGCAGCCCTGGGGACCTCTGTCTGCAGGTCCAGGCCTGGGATCCTCATTTGAACACTTGAGTTTCAGCCTGGCTATGGGCCTTGCTTACTGGAGCTGCCTTACTTGATTATTCTTGGACATGGGCCACTAGCAGCGATTTCAGCTTCTTAATGGGACTTTATGTGATACATTTTGGAACCCCAGCAAGATCGCTTAAGAGTGGAGCTAGTGTCTAAGGTTACTTGCACCAATCCCACTGTACATCTTGGCCTTCCCCAAGCCTAGGGGCTGGGCCTGTTCCTTGTGTCTCTGAGAGAACTCTGATATTACTGCTAGTTGAGACTAAAGCAGCTTTTGTTCTTCTTCATGGGGTGCAGGTATCTGGACTCCTAGTTAACCGTTCTATGGAGGAAGTCTTCCCACCTCTTATTAGGACAGTGTTTCCGTCACTGTTGGTGACAATAATTGGGCTCTCCACAGTTCAACTCAAGTATCTTTATTGTTCTCTATATTCTCTCAACTGGCAATGACATTTCTGTGGTTTTAACTGTTTTAACTAATAGCTCTAAGCCAAACAACAACAACAACAAACAAAGAAAAGGATGTGAGGATGATCTTATTCCAAGAGGTGTCCAGCTGTTTCCAGCCCCAGGCTGTCTGGTACTTTCCTTTCTCAAAGCGTCACATTCTGGCAAAAGAGAGGAAAACTGTTTTTGGGTTAAGTGTATTACTGGTCTTAATAGTTACCTAGGTCTCAGGCTTCAATTCCATTTCCAGTCACCTATGTATTCTGTAGGCACCTTTGTTTATCTCAGGTCAAATGTCTAATTTTTATCCTTTAAAACGAATTCCTGATTCCTATCTTTCCATTATCTGTTAACACCATTCTGTTATGCCATTCTCTTTCAAACCTCACCATTCACTTTTTTTTGAGTTACTTTAGTCTGCATACTCTCTTTGCCTTGTTTGCCTTCATCACACAATTTTAGCCCTGGTGTCAACTTAACCTATTACTGTGACCGTTGCTTAGGTGAGCCTCCTCCTCTTTTTCTTCCTTTCTTGTACATTCACTGAGTACGAGGCACCTGTCATCCAAGGGCACACCCCAGGCTTTTAAGGTGTTAACTAGGGGAGAGCTTCCTGTAGACAAATGAGTCTGTGTTAGTCAGCTGAGAGCAGCACAGGTCCAGAGTATTGTCTGCAATTCAGAGCTTGATAAAGGATTACATGTTTGGAAAGAAGGAGTATGGGCTGAGTCCACGTAGGGGCACAGAAAAAGCAAAGCTTTAGCAGTGTGACATGATATTGGAAATGTCAGGCTGACTGGAGCCTAGGGAGAGAAGGTAGAGAAGCAGGGAGAGGCCAGTTCTCGGCAGGCCTTCAAGGCCTACTGATATGTCTGAGTGGATTCTGTGGGCAAGGGAGCCATTAACTTGTTAAAAAAAAAAATAGGAGCGGTAGAGCGCTAGCCTTGAGCTGAAGAGCTGAGGGACAGCGCCCAGCCCAGAGTTCAGGCCCCACGACTGGACCTCCAAAAAAATAAATAAATAAAATAAAAAATAGTCGTGGCATCCAGGCACTGGTAGTTCATGCCTGCAAACCTAATTACTCAGAATGCTGAGATCTGAAGATCACAGTTTGAAGGCAGTCCAGGAGGACACATCTGAGAGACAATTATCTCCAATTAACCAGCAAAAGGCCAGAAGTAGAGGTATGGCTCGAGTGGTAGAGCACCAGCTTTGAGCAAAAAAGCTAAGGGACAGAACCAAGGCCCTGAGTTAAAGCCCCAACTAGCACCAAAGGAGAAATAAGAATAAGAGCAGAACAATCATACTATTTTAAGAAAATTCACAGCTAGGTGGCTGTGAACTTGTGGGAAGGGAGATGATAGCACAGTTTGGTTTAACACACTTAAGGTTTAAAATGAAAATGTTGTATAAAGCCAGCTTAGGCCGACAAATTCGTGACTCTTGGGAAGACAAATTCATGTCCAATTAACCAGCAAAAAAGTTGTAAGTGGAGGTGTAGCTCAAGTGGTAGACTGCCAGCCTTGAGCAAAAAAAAAAAGCCTCGTAAAGAACATAATAAGGCCCTGAGTTAGTCTCAGTACACACACACACACACACACACACACACACACACACACACGCACGCACGCACACACGCACGCACGCGCACACACACACACACACAATGTAGTTCAAGTGGTACAGAGCCAACCTAGCAAGTAGAAGGCCTTGATTTTAAACCCTCAGTCTACCAAAAGAGAGAGAAAGAGAGACAGAGATAGACAGAGAGAAATGTTATCCCTAAATCTTTAGAGGGCAGAGAAATGTGGAAGTGAGGTGAGGACGATGGCAATGACCAGTGAGCAGCACTGTTCAGGAACAGCTTGCCAGGTGAGAAGCTGGTCAAAGCTAGGAGTCCAGGCAATATTTAAAGGTTTTGACAAATATGATTTAGAAAAAGAAAGCAGAGGGTTGGGAGGTTGGCTCAGTGGTAGAGCGCCTGCCTCACATGCATGACGCTCTGAGTTCGATTCTTTAGCACCACATAAGCAAAAAAAAGCTGGAAGTGGTGCTGTGGCTCAACTGGTAGAGTGCTAGCCTTGAGCTGAAGAGCTGAGGGACAGCGCCCAGGCCCAGAGTTCAGGCCCCACAACCAACAAAGAAAAACAAAAAAACTTGACATGGTTAAGTGAACTAACATTCAATTAGGAGTCCAGCAACCAGGTAGAACAGTGGATGTGAGGTTTGAAGAATAAGAGTTGAAAAAATAAATAGAATCAGCTATTTCAGGACCTGGGCTATACGGGGAATGCAAGAAAGGGTGGTAGCTAGAAGGTAAAAAATTCCCTTTCCTAAGCACAAAGCAGTTACTTACCTGCTTCCAGCATGTGACATATTTCCAGGACCTGTAATTACCAGGGCTGGTCTTTTGAGGTTCTGTAATTCAGCAACTCCTGTGTAACCTTCCCCTCAAACAACTGACAGCCCACCAAAACCAGCTTGAACACACATTCAACAAAACCTGTCAATACTGACCAAAAGACTAAAGTTGAGAAAATAACCAAAGAAGTTTAGAATTTAAAAAAGGATCAGCCAAGCCTTCCCTGTTTGGAATAAGTAGATCAGTGAATTTGTATACAGATGGCATAGACTTGCCAAGGTCACTAAAGATAAAAAATACTGTTTTCAATTCAGTACTGGCTGCGAAGAGCTACGGCAGTGCTCATTTCCTGTCCTGCTCATTGTCTAAATGGTACCAGATTGTACTCTGTGGTTATCTTAAGAGCATTCTTGATCAATTTAGTGATTTAAATCAACTTTTATCAATTTTGTGATAAAACAGGCTAGGTTCTTTATCTTTCAGTCCCTCTTGGAATTAGAAAAGGGCCTGGAATGGCGGTGCATAGCTATCATCCTAGCACTGGAGAGACCCAGGCAGAAGGATTAGGAGGTGGAAGCCAGCCTGGGTCTGCTTGGGCTACATCCTGAGAGCCTGTCTCATAAAAACAAGTAAGAACAACAAAACATTCCTGAAGACTGCAAAAGGCAGTAGTGGCGGTACTGTAATGAAGTGCTCAGGTACTATCACCCCACAGTGGTGGTTTTCCAATATGGCACAATTAGAAGTCTCTAAGGTATTCACACCTGAATAGGAACATATGGTATTTATTAGATGGTGCTTGTGGAAGGGGAAATATTTTAAGAAACCAAGCTAGAGAAGGCGAGTCTTAATCTCACTTAGATAAGAAAATGGAGGGGAACAAGCTCACAGACAAAGAACCAGAGGGAATGGGGAAGTGTCTTAATCTATGTTACTCTTCTCCTTTATTTTAATGTTTGAGTGAAGATAATTCTGGAGGGAAAAGTTTGGAAAGCAGAATCAACCTCTCTATAATCCCGACCTCTAGCTTCTCCTGGAGACTCATTCTATAAACAAAGCTTAAGCTCTCCTGACAGCTCTCTAGGCATGCCTGGTCTGAAATGCCAAGTGGAGAAAGGGGAGCTGCCTCTTACATTGAGATTCAGGAGCTATGAGTTCCCAGGTCCTCCAAAAAGAGCAAAGTCCTATTGTTGCTAGTCACCCCCAATAGAAACAGAAGACATAGTCCATGTGGCTCCAGGCTTCTATACCTCTGGTGAGGTTTTGGCAGGCCAGAAGTCTTTGCAACACAGCCTTTAATAACACAACTCACACCAAAGCTATGGATGCCACATACCTCTCTTGTTGTTCCTTCTCCAATCGCTCTTGCTCCTCCTGTTCCTTCTGCAGCCGAGCCTGACGTCTCTTTTCAGCCAGGATCTTTGCAGCCTCTCCCGCATCAGTGGTGCCTGCTGTAGGCTTCCCCGAGACTGTCACACAAGACATGGTAAAAGGAAAAGATCAAGGGAAATTAATGATTCTATTCACTTGGCAGCTGCCATGTCAACACAAAAATCTAGTCTAGAGGTTGGGAAGGTGGCCTAGTTAGTGGTAGAGTGCTTGCCTAGCATGCATGAAGCCCTGGGTTGGATTCCTGAGTACCACATACACAGAAAAAGCCAGAAGTGGCTCTGTGGCTCAAGTAGTAGAGTGCTAGCCTTGAGCAAAAGAAGCTCAAGGACAGTGCATAGGCCCTGAGTTCAAGCCTCAGGACTGGCAAAAAAAAATTTAGTCTAAGCTGGGCGCTGGTGGCTCACACCTGTAATCCTAGCTACTCAGGAGGATGAGATCTGAGGATCACGGTTCAAAGCCAGCCCGGGCAGGAAAGTCCGTGAGACTCTTATCTCCAATTAACCATCAGAAAACTGGAAATGGTGCTGTGGCTTATGTGGTAGAGCGCTACCCTTGAGCTGAAGGACAATGCCCAGGCCCCATGACTACCACCCCCCCCCCCTCAAAAAAAAAATCTAGTCTAGTGTGGTGATGGGAAACATTGCTAGGGCAGCATTACAACTAGCCACTGAGCAGAAGTTGGGAAGGACTGCCTGGGACCGTGGGGGGCATCATTTCCCAGCGGAAGATAGTGAACAGCTGAGGACAGTACAAAGCCACATGCAAGTCCCACTGTGTCCACCATCTGGGGGAACTCCCTGCAGCATGGGAGCTTCAAGGGACTAAAAGAAGACCTTCTCCTGGGGGAAGCGGTGATGGTAACTGACAGCCAGTCTTACTCAGCACTGTGGTGAGCTTCCACAACTGTGAGCAGGGCCAGCTCCTAGGGTCCTCTGGGACACTGAAGGAAAGGATTAAGGGGCAATGACTAAGTCTGAGAAGGCAGTAGAAGGAATGAAGCTGTCCCAGGAGAAATCCTGTTTCTCTTCCTCAAATGGAACACTGATCAGCTCAGAGGGCGAATCATCTCAGCAAAGTCAGGGCTTAGTGGCAGCATTGACAAAAGAAGGTGTACCTGCACTGCTCTCAGCCTTCCCTCCTGCAGTAGCATGCTTCTCTGTGCCACGCTTGTCGGCCACATGCTTCTCGGTGGCACGCTTGTCTGCCATGTGCTTCTCAGTGGCACTCTTATCCATCACATGCTTTTCAATGGCAGGTTTGTCAGCCACATGCTTCTTGGTGGCATCTGTGTCAGCTACATGCTTTTCAGTGGCATCCCTGTCGGTCAGGTGTTTCTCAGTGGCATCCTTGTCAGCCACGTGCTTTTCAGTGACATCCCTTTCAGCCACATGTTTCTCAGTGGCATCCTTGTTGGCCACTTGGTTCTCAGTGGCATTCTTGTCAGCCACGTGCTTCTCAGTGGCATTCTTGTCATCCAGATGCTTCTCAGTGGCACTCTTGTCGACCACATGCTTCTCAGTGGCATCCCTGTCAAGCGCATGCTTCTCAGTGGCATCCTTGTCAATCTTGGGCTTCTCAGTGGCCTCCTTGTCAGCCACATGCTTCTCAGTGGCCTCTTTGTTGGCCACTTGTTTCTCAGTGGCATGCTTGTCATCCAGGGGCTTCTCAGTGGCACCCTTGTCAGCAACATGTTTTTCGATGGCACCCTTGTTGGCCACATGCTTCTTGGTGGCACCCTTGTCAGCCACGGGCTTCTTGGTGGCACCCTTGTTGGCCACATACTTCTCTGGAGTTTCCTCTCTGTACATGCCACTGGCCAACTGGATAGAGGTACCTTCCCTTTCCTTGTTGCTCTTCTCTTTATCTGCTTTCTTCTTGAGTGTTTCTTGGCTAGGAACAGGGGAGTAGCGATATTTCACAGGAGACCCTGCGTACGGTGGCTTCACTGTCTTTGGAGACTGCGGATATGCTTTTGAAGTTGTCCTAGAAAACCAAAAAACAAGGCATAAGCTTGATCACAAAGCTGTTTTTCTAAGACACCTGGTTCCAGGAGGTTGACCAATTTCACCCTTCCAAAGGAACAAATGCAAGGCTTAGCACACACAATCAGAAGTCTCTAAGGTATTTGCCCCTGAATAGGAAAATATGGTTGGTTATCTATTAGCTGGCCCTTGTGGAAGGAGAAATATGCTAAGAAACCAAGCTGGTTGGGCTGGGAAGGTGGCTCAGTGGCAGAGTGCTTGCCTTGCATGCCTGAGGCCCTGGGTTCGATTCCTCAGCACCACATAAGCAAAATGAAAAAAGTCGGAAGTGACACTGTGGCTCAAGTGGTAGAGCACTAGCCTTGAGCTGAAGAGCTGAGGGACAGCGCCCAGGCCCAGAGTTCAGGCCCCACGATCGGACCCCCCCCCCCCAAAAAAAAGAAACCAAGCTGGTGATATCATGTCCTAAGCTCACTTATATGTGTTGACAACATAAAGATTTTGATATGGTTTGTCTCTCAAAGGTTCTTGTGCTAGAAGACTGGTCCCCCATGGTAATGTAATGGTATTGAGAAGGGATGGTATTGAGAAAGAAGTGAGGCCCAGTTGGAGGTGACTGGGCCATAGGGACACTACTCTTCAGGATGTCTTTCTGGCGAAAATGAGTTCCTTCTCTGAGATTGGATTAGGTCTCTTAGGAATGAGTTACATCTTTTGGGATTAGATAACTGACTCTGAAAATGAGCTATTAATAATGCGGTTAACCTCTCCTGCCTTATTCTTATACATATGTTCTTTCATTTGTTTTTTGGTTTTTTTTGGGTCCAGTTGTGGGGCCTGAACTCTGGGCCTGGGCGCTGTCCTTCAGCTCTTCAGCTCAAGGCTAGCGCTCTACCACTTGAGCCACAGCGCCACTTCCGGCTTTTTTTTTCTGCTTATGTGGTGCTGAGGAATCGAACCCAGGGCCTCATGCATGCAAGGCAAGCGCTCTACCACGGAGCTACCTTCCCAGCCCCTGTTCTTTCATTTGTATAACTTGTTTTTGGTGGTATTGGGGTTTGAACTTAACACCTCATGCCTATTAGGCAGGTGCTCTATCACTTGAGCTACAACCCCAGGCACACATGCTCTTGCCCATGCACCCATTTTTTTTTTTTCACTTTTCCGTCATGAGACAATGCAGCAGGAGTCCCTCGCCAAAAGCTAGGCAGATGCTGGCATTATGCCTTTGAATTTTCCTACCTCCAAAACTTGGAACCTAAGCTTCTTTTTCTTTATAAAGTAACTCCCTCAGGAATTTTGTTATTGTAATGAAGAATAGACTAGGCAGATGGAGTGTTAGGTATTTTCTCCTCTTTTTAGATGAAAACTAGGGTTTGATCTGGCTTCAGCATATAGAGAAGTTGGCTCCTTTTTAAACAACATAAAACTAAACTGTGTGTGTTACAATATTTTAGTTGTTAAAAACAAGCACAACACAGGTTCTATTGTTATGGTTACTTTACAGATGAGGAAACTCAGCTTAGAGAGGTTAAGTGGATCCTATGGTTAACTAAGCAATGGAGCTAGGGTTTGAGCCCACATCTACCTGATTACTTCTTACAACTCTGTGCTGTTCCTTCTATTACAATGGTGGCTAAGTCTGAGCTTGGTGTTAACAGTACTTCATGTTGTTGTTGTCTTTTTAATACTAGTATCAAGAAAACACTCAAGGGCTGGGAAGGTGGCTCAGTGGTAGAGCGCATGCCTTGCATGCCAGAGGCCCTGGGTTCGATTCCTCAGCACCACATAAGCAAAAAGCAAAAAAAAAAAAAAAAAAAAAAAAAAGAAAACACTCAAAGCCCGGTACCTATGGCTCATACCTATAATCCTAGCTATTCAGGAGGCTGAGATCTAAGGACCCTAGTTCAAAGCCAGCTTGAGAGAAAAGTCCCCCATGAGACTCTTATCTCCAATTAACCACTCAAAAACTGGAAGTGGAGCTGTGGTGCTAGCCTTGAGCCAAAAAAAGCTCAGGGACAGTGCCCAGGCGCTGAGTTCAAGCCCCACGACAGACCCAAAAAAAGAGAAAAAAAGAAAGCACTCAACAGCTATAGATACAGGTGGTATTTTGATAGATGACAAAATACAAACCCAAATGATTCTCATAGGAAAGAATGAACCTAAATGAGGAGGCTCAACTATAACAGGAGGAGCCATGCCATTGCATGCTCTCTCATATCGATAGGCCTCCACTTAGCAGGTCCCCAAGGGACTGAAACCTATGTTTCAGTTCAAAGAATATATACATACATATGGCAGAAGACCTGCCTTTCATGTCATCTGTGGATGCAAGTTTGTTTGTTTATGTATTTTGCCAGTCCTGGGGCTTAAACTCAGGGCCTGGGCACTGTTGCTGAGCTGCTTTTGCTCAAGGATAGCACTCTACCATTTGAGCCACGGCACCATTTTGGGCTTTTTCTGTGTATGTGGCACTGAGGAATCCAACTCAGGGCTTCATGCATGCTAGGCAAGCACTCCACCACTAGGCCGTATTCCTAGCCCTGTAAGTACATTTAAATGAGCAAATCCTATGCTGCATCTGCTACCTACACAAGCTAACAAGCTAACAGTGACCTGCAGATGTGAGCTCTGCTCCCAGCAATAAACTTACCACCCACTTTGCCCTAATCACCACATGAGAAAGACTGTGTCTAATATCTTTCCAAGATCAAAACACATTGCCTGCTCTCCAGAACACCATGTGGACATTATGCTTGCTGTGTGCACCTTTGGTCCAATGACAGAGTGTGGACAGAGGATGGATTTGGGATTTAGTGAGAAATGTCATAGAAAAGACTGATAATTTTCAGTAGATCAGATGTGGACAGAATATTTTCCCCTCCCATAAGTACTCCTGACTCATTAAGGAGCCATTTTAGGCACTGCAGGGAACCACCAGCAAAAGCAATCTGTTTTTCTCCCTTACTCACACCCCACTCCCCAAGGAACAAGGAATGAGTTCTCTTAATGAGATTGGGCAGAGATGTCTGCTATGCGCAGCTCTGCTTGTGTTGCTATAATTTCACTGCAGTGAGCCCATACTCTGGGCTACTCTAAGCAGTGCTGAAAAAGGTGAGCTCTGCCCCAGAGGGGCGGCCATGCCCTGGGGTTCTCTATCTGTGAATGAGTGCATGGATGGGGAGCTTGCCTGCACATATTACTCCCACCATGAGGCTGGAATGGGAGGAATGGGTAGGCATCCTGAACTGGCTCAGCCACAATCTAATTTTTTTTTGGGTCCAGTCATGGGGCCTGAACTCTGGGCTGGGTGCTGTCCCTCAGCTCTTCAGCTCAAGGCTAGCGCTCTACCACTTAAGCCATAGCACCACTTCCGGCTTTTTTATTTTCTGCTTATGTGGTGCTGAGGAATCGAACCCAGGGCCTCATGCATGCAAGGCAAGCACTCTACCACTGAGCCACCTTCCCAGCCCCACAATCTGAACCCAGGGCCTCATGCATGCAAGGCAAGCACTCTACCACTGAGCCACCTTCCCAGCCCCACAATCTAAATTCTAACAGGACTCCTCTATCTATTTAACAGAAGGCCAAGGAGTGTAACGAATACACACTCAGTGTGGCAGAATCCTGATGGTTCTTTCAGATTCTTTGAAGTAGATAGAACGGGTGAAACAAGATAGCACTTTGAAGGAAAAAAGGCCAACTGCCCTGGGCAGGGGATGTTTTTTGTTTTGTTTGAAATAAGTTTTTTATTGTAAAAATACTGGACAGAGGGGTTACAGTTACATGAGCCAGGGGATGTTTTGACAGCCCTAAGTTGGCACAGCTCTGAACAATCTTGCTTTAACTTGCTTTTCAAAATGGTCATGTGGAGGCTCATTTCACACCACAGACCACAGTTCTATTCTAAGTAAAACTGGGCCAACTACCCAAAAGCACACATTTAAAAATAACTCCTACCTGAAAAGTAAGGATGGAGAATTTAGGATAAAACTTAAGAAGTGGATTTATTTTCACTTACCCTAGCCCCCACTGACTGATAAACAAATAAGTTAGAACACACACACACACACACACACACACACACACACTCACGTGCGTGCACGCAACTTCACATTAGAGAAGTGTCAAGTCCGATTTTTCTAACAGTGAGTAAACAGAATATAGAATACAATTTTTTTTTTTTTGCCAGTCATGGGGCCTGAACTCTGGGCCTGGGTGCTGTCCCTCAGCACTTCAGCTCAAGGCTAGCATTCTACCACTGGATCCACAGCACTACTTCCAGCTTTTTCTGCTTATGTGGTACTGAGGAATCTAATCCAGGGCCTCATGCATGCAAGGCAAGCACTCTACCACTGAGCCACCTTCCCAGCCCCATAGAATACAATCTTTAAAATTCCCAATTTCCTGTTCATCTAGCCTTGTCATTTGCTTATATGAATGTAGCATCCTGCCAGTTGCCCTACAAACACAGCTTGTTTTTCGATGGCTTTTGGAGACAGCATTGACTGTACAGCATAGGCTGGTCTCAAACTCATTATCTTCCTGCAGCAGCCTTCCAACCACACCCAGCTGAGACCTTTATTCAATCATGGTCTATTTTATTGCCATGACAACCCTGTGAGGTAGGTAGGAAATTGTTGTTAACCATAGTTTGGATAAAAAGACTAAAGACGGGAGGCATGGCTCAATTGGTAAGAGTACAAGGGCAAGACTCCTTGAGTTCAATCTCCAGTACTGCTAGCTAGCTAACATACATAGATACTTAGATAGCTAGGCAGACAGATACCAACTCATAAGAGCTTAAATAACTTTTTCCAAAGATGCAAATAGATGAGAATATGCCTACTGGCACTCAAGCCATTTGTTAATCATCTGGGTTTTTTTTTTTTTTAGCTCTTCTACTTTATTTTTTAAGACCAATAAAAAATAGAACAAGGAAACACTAAAAATATATAGTATAAAATGTAACACGGGTGATAGGAGGTCTTCCTGGACCAC